CCTCTTCCACACCACGGCCTCCAGCGGGGGGGAGCGCAGCCGAAAGCCGCTGAACGCGAGTATTCTGCGCCCGATGCAATCTTCACAGTTGATCGGTGGGGGGCGCAGCCGAAAGCCGAAGAGACATTGTGAATGAAGGAAGATGGGGGGCGCAGCCGAAAGCCGCAGTCACCGATCCAGATGCCTCGTCCACGGAAGTCTCAAGGTTCCCTACGGGAGCCCCGTACTCGGCCTCTGGGGGCCGGGTGGAACCTGCAGCTGGAGCTTCGCACTCATGGCCAGACCCCTTGCGGAGGGAGGAGGGGGGCGTGAACGGAACTGGGATCCTTCTCCAGATACCTCGTCCACGGACGCCTCTAGGAACCCTACAAGAGCCTCGTTCTCGGCCGCTGGGGGCTGGGTGGAACCGGCAGCAGGGCCTCCGTGCCTCACACGGGGCGCCCTTCACAATACCTACTGACCAACGGTCCATAGCTGTTCCTCCTCGGCCTCCACAGGTGCACGGTGGGGGGTTGAAAGCTGCAGGGGTGGTATATTCCATGGAGACCACGGCGCGTCCGACAACAGCACGTCAGAACCAAGAGAGAGAGAGAGAGAGAGAGAGAGAGAGAGAGAGAGAGAGAGAGAGAGAGAGAGAGAGAGAGAGAGAGAGAGAGAGAGAGAGAGAGAGAGAGAGAGAGAGAGAGAGAGAGAGAGAGAGAGAGAGAGAGAGAGAGAGAGAGAGAGAGAGAGAGAGAGAGAGAGAGAGAGAGAGAGAGAGAGAGAGAAGAGAGAGAGAGAGAGAGAGAGAGAGAGAGAGAGAGAGAGAGAGAGAGAGAGAGAGAGAGAGAGAGAGAGAGAGAGAGAGAGAGAGAGAGAGAGAGAGAGAGAGAGAGAGAGAGAGAGAGAGAGAGAGAGAGAGAGAGAGAGAGAGAGAGAAAAAGAAAAAAAAAAAAAAAAAAAAAAAAAAAAAAAAAAAAAAAAAAAAAAAACTATGAGACCCCCAATCGCGCTGATGAGCACGGCGTGCAACTCGCAGTAAGTAGAAAGCCAGACTGCCCACGGCATCGCCGCAAGCGCAGCGCGCAGACAGAGGAGAAAACTACTGAGGTCGACGGCATAGCCACACACGCAGCACGTAGACAACAGCCAAACTGAAGAAGTAGAAATTCTGAACGAAACAGAAGTCGAGACACGACGCACGCAGGAAGCGCCGGGCAGAAACGGGCCTGCTGCCAGAGATCATCCCCCACGCCCCTGGGCCCCACGAGTGCGATGCCGTTTGCAAAGTGTGAGCCAGCAGAGTGCGTCTGCAAGAGCCCCATCTACGATTGGACATCCAAGTGACAATGTAGCAGCTGCACGCCGAGAACATCTGCGCGTGAGGGGGGGGCAGCTAGCCGCCGCGAGACGCGCTCTCAGCGGGGCAGCGACGGGCCCGCTGCCAGTGTCCGCCCTCGCGCACCAGATCCCCGCGCGAGCGATGCCGCGAGGGGGGTTCGCCTGGCTACTCTAGGGCGACGGCCCACCACTGTTTCTTGCGCTTCTTGGGGGCCTGGTTGTTCGGGTGGCTTTTTGCCGCGTGGTGATCGCTGCTCACGCCTCCGCTCCGACCCAGGCGCAGCTGCCACGGCCGAATCCAGTCGACGTCGAGGCCCAGCGCGTCGCTGAGGACCCGTACGTCGCACTTGTGGCTGCGGAAGGATTCCAGGAAGAAGTGGCAGGTTTGCGGGTCGTGCTGAAGCGGGTCGAGCGCGCCCTTGCTGCCGGGCACAGACTGCCGCTTGGCGAAAGCGTGCCAGGTGCCAGTGAACAGTGGTCCTAGTGTGACTTGGAGTCGCCGCATCGCCTCGCCGGGTGTCTCCCCGGGGAGGTCCCACTGGATGTTGTTGATTCCTGTTTTGTGCAGCTGTTGTCCCGTGTCGGGGTCCTTGGGCTCCGGCCATTGACGAGGGTCGGTCCTCTGGTGCCGCCGTGTATCCTGGCCGCAAGTCTCCACGGTGCCGGCCTCGTTGTCCTGGCTGGGGGGCTCGCGATCTGCTCGGAACAGCTCCAGCTGCACGCCTGGCAGGGTTTTGCGGGGAGATGCAAGCCGCATGGTTGGCCGCCAGGCTGGGGTCGGATCGCGCCCGGCGGCCAGGGCGGACGCGGCCTTGTGGCAAGTGGGGAAGGGCCCCTTTCGCTGGGGTTCGCCTTCGGGCCTGTACCCGCCGTCGCTCCCAGGTGCGCCCCCATTGGACAGCGCCGGACACTCTCCGGTCTCTGGGGCACCGCTGGTTGTGCCAGGCGCGCGCACGCTCGGCGGCGCGGCCTCCGCAGCCGGGGCGCGAGCTGCTTTGTCAGTGGTGCCATGGGCGTCCTGCGTCTGGATGGTTGCTCCGTGGCCCCCCTGCTGGGCGCGCGGCGCCCCCAAAGGACTGCTGACGGACTGATTGCTCTGAGGGGGATGCTCCGCGGCTTCCGCGGCCTCCGCCGTCTCCGCCGTGACCTCCCACTCCTTTCCTCTGCCCTGCTGGCGCTGCTGAAGGGGGGGGGAGAGGGTTGTTAGTGTGAGCTGTGCACTGGTCACTGCAAGCAACGGCCTCGCGATTCCCCACTGGAACGCCCTCGTCGGACAACGATCGATTCCCCTTTGGGGCGTCATCATCTGTCAAAGCAGCGGGGGGTGGTATGTTGCTGCTGCTGCTATGTTCCGAGATGTCGTTGTGAATATCGAGATCTCTCGCGTCTGCGCCAGATCCCGCGGTCTGTGCCCAGGCAGCAGCGGGGGCCTTCGGGGGCGCAACGAGCCCGCGCGGGATGTCCGCGAACTCCAGGTCGTCCGAAGGCGACTTGGGCAGCTTGCCAGCGATGTCAGGCGTGATGTAGCCCATGGCCGCCAGCATGCTCACGCGGCCGTTCTTCAGCTCTGCCTGCCACTGGTGAGCGGGATTCTCCGCGCTGCCTCCCGCCGTGCAGCCTGCAGGGCCCCAAAGGCCCGAAAGGTCCTGAACGCCCAGCTCGCTCTCGAACTTGAAGGCGCGCAGCGGGGATCCAGCGCACAGCGCCCCATCGCCCAGGGCGGAGCCAATCCGGCAGTCCTGGAGGCACATGCCGAGGATCGCCAACCTGGCAAGGCGGCCGTTCGCGAAATTCCGCCGCGGGGCCGCTGGACGCCAGCACCGCAACGGCGAAGATGCGCGCGGCAGCCGCGATGTCCGCGGACTGGTCCTCAAGGACAGCGGCCACTGCGAACGCCTGCTCTTCTCGCGCGCGCTGGTCAGGGTGCCCTAAGTGATGATATTGGTCTTCAGCTTCGCTGCCGCCATCTCGCTCGGCAGCGCCATTGCCTGCTGGCGCTGCAAACGCCTGATATTCTCGCACTCGCTGATCAGGGCGCTGCAGGGGGTGATGCAGCACCTCGTTTGCAGCCGCTGCCAACGCCTGTTCTTCTCGCACACGCTGTTCAGGGCGCTGTAGGTGTTGATGTTGGGCTCCAGCTGCGCGACCACCATCTCGCTCAGCAACCCAGCTGTCGCAGATGTGGTAGGTGATGATGTTGGGCTTCAGCTGCAAGACCGCCATCTCGCTCAGCAGCGCCACGGTCTGCAATCGCTGCCGACGACTGCTCTTCTCGCGCGAGCTGTTCACAGTGACGTACGTTATGATTTTGGGCTCCAGCTTTACGGCCACAATCTCGTCCAGCAGCGCCACGTCCTGCTGCCACTGCTGACGCATGCCCTTCACGCACGCGCTCTTCACAGCGCCGTAGGTGATGATGTTGGGCTCCAGCTTCGCTGCCACAATCTCGCCCCGCAGCGCCACAACCTGCTGCCACTGCTGCCGCCTGCTCTTCTCGCACGCGCTCTTCACAGCGCCGTTGATGAAGATGGTGGGCTCCAGCTTCGCGGCTACAATCTCGCCCAGCAGCGGCACTGCCTGCTGCCACTGCCGACGCCTGCTCTTCTTGCACACGCTGTTCACCGTGCCAGAGTTGATGAACGTGGGCTTCAGCTTCACGACCGGGGCCTCGACCAGCAGCGCCACACCCTGCTGCCACTGCTGACGCCTGCTCTTCACGCACGCGCTCTTCACAGTGCCGTAGGTGATGATGTTGGGGTTCAGTTTCGCTGCCACAATCTCGCCCAGCCGCGCCACAACCTCCTGCCACTGCTGCCGCCTGCTCTTCTCGCACGTGCTCTTCACAGTGCCGCTGGTGAAGATGATGTTGGGCTCCAGCTTCACAGCCAGGATTTCGCTCACCAGCGCCACGGCCATCTGCCACTGCCAGCGCCTGCCCTTCTCGCGCCAGCTGTTCAGGATGACGTAGAAGGATGATGTTGGGGTCCGGCGTCATGTCCAAACAAAACAGCGGCGGCGGCGGCGGCGGCGGCGGCCGCGACACCAGCTGCAGCGGGAGCAGCGGCGCCAGCGGCCACGGCGGCCACGGCGGCGGCCTCCGCGCCTGCGGCGGCCGCGGCCGCCGCGGCAAACCCCAGGGCAGCCGCCCGCGCCACAGCGCGGGCGGCCGCGGCGGCCTCGCCGCCGCGGCGGCGGCGCCGCCCACGCCGAGCCGCGGCGGCAGCAGGCCTGCCGGGCCGGCCGTGGTGGCGGCGCGGCAGGCGGCGGCGTGCCGCTGCCGCCGCCGCCGCGCCGAGCGCGACACCATGGCTGGGCGAGCGGGGGCGCGGAGGGGGGCGAACCCCTCGCACGCCCCCGCGGGCGGGGAGGCCGAGGACCGAGGGGCGGGCCCCCGGCCACGGCCGGCCAGCCGCTGAGGCCAGTTTGAGCCAGAGCGGCCATCGAGTTGCCTGAATCGTTGGTCGGCGAGGGTAGGGTTCAGATTTCGCCACCGAATCGTTAGTCTTCAAAATATCCAGTATTGGTCAAATATCAACCGTCTCTGATACCGCGTTCGCGGACAGGACGCCTGGATCCTCGCCCACCGCTCGTGGTCTGCCCGCGGCCCAAGAGCGCAACTTTGTTGGGGGCAGCAGTACAGGCTCGCGCACGCACACCCATGACGCTCAAGCTTCTGCGACCTCGTACATCAGCCGGCCATGATATATCCCATCTGTTGAGATGTTATCCGCGCCGCACCACAGGAGCTCCCCCTCGATGATGCGCGGGAAGTCCTCCACAAGGGGCTGCTGAGAGCCCAGCGGCAGATCAGCCACAGCACCATCCTTGGCAGGATGGGGAAGTCCTCCTCCTCCTCCTCCTCCTCCTCATGCTCCTCCTCCTGCTCCCCCTCCTCGCGGTATAAGCATCATGCGCGAAGCAACAAGTGAAATCCTTCTTCCAATGTGAGCACCATGCATCAAACACGCAGCCAGAACTACGAACGATGTGCTTAAGGGTGCTGCCCGCTGCTATGGAAAATGTATACGCTAACTCGCTCATCCCGGCATATACTCGTAACCCTCCACCTCCAACCTGAAGCAAAGAGCCTGCTGGCTGGAGTCGCACCACCCCTGCGCCGCGTCTGGAGGCGGCCTCCGGCCTGGGTCGCTCCCAGTGGGAGTCTCCGACGTTCCGCACTCTCCCCGACGACCGAAAGGCCCAGAGGATTGCAAATCCCTGGGATTCAGGGGTTGAGACGATCATGGCGATAATGATGGTGATGGTGAGGCGGGCATGAGAAGTTGATGCGTCACTGGTGAAAGGTTGTTCTTTGCGAGTGCTGAAAGAGAGCAACAAGCTAAGAGAAGTCGAACCCCAGTGAGACAGACTACCGTTTGGTGCTATGCCACGTCCACGCACCATACTGGGCTTCCACGATCCGCATTATCGTCGCAATCATCCCCACATGTGCTGAGCCGATGCTGCAAATACTCGTAGCACGAATGAGTGCGTTAACAGCATTAAGAAGGCGAACAACCTATATCAAGGCGAACATGGAGGCAAGCGCGGTTAAGTTTGGAATGGGGGGGGTACGTAGCGAGTGTATCATGTGCGCCCTGAATTTGGTAGGCACAACGGCGCTCGGACTGTGCAAGCCGAGCTCTGGATGCAACAGCATGAGGCCCAGCGAGGCCCCAGAGCGCCTAAGAGCAAGGAGGAAAGACTGTGCACTTCGAATACAACACTAGCAAACCCATTGCGCTCAACATGCGCGCGCCTGGGCGATGCCGGCCTAAAGCGGAGAGGACACGCCCATCCCCAAGAAAACAGAAGCTGAACCACTGTAGACATCGCCTGGGGCATGGAGAAACACAAGGATCACATGCTGCTTCGGCTTCGACGCATTTGCATTCTGGTCTGAGCGGGTGGAGCTGCTCTCTCGGCTCTGCGGCCAGCCTCACGCAGAAGAGCCATATGCAAAGCATCGCTGATACATATTCGCGCGGGCAGCAGTCCAGTCGGACAACTTCAGTATGACAAAGGGGCGTGTGTCTAGCGGCCTCCATGTTCCAACAATCCACGCTGCCACTACCACTACGACTCCCGTGCTTTGAGCAGGGACCGACCGTCCCGGCATCCCTATAGGCCTACCACGGCATGTTCTCATAACAAAAGATTTTCCTAAAACAAGACCATGTTCTCAGAACATTAACCCGATGTGCTGAAACAGAACAATATCGGCCATACATGTTCTAAGAATTCGCGCAAACCGCAAAGAGGTCTTAGAACATTATTTGGTGGGCCTATGGGCAAGCTGGGACACTTCGCCACTGCTAGGGTGTCCTGATCACACTTCCCTGGTCCCCACTTGGCAACGACATTGCGAGGGCAGTGGGGGCTGCCAGCACGGCGCGCCGAAGGCGGCGGGGCCGAAATCGCCTGAACGCAGCAAGTTTCGTAATCCCCTCTGTCCCTGTCCCCCCGACCAGCACGCCCTGCGAGCAGGGCGCAGGGCAGCGTGAAAACGTTGCCCGTTGAGACGAATCGCCGGCGCGCCGAGGGGAGAAGGGATCGGGGTTTCGCAAAAGGTTCTCGGGAACCCGCCAGCCTTCCGAGAAGCATTCCGTGGTTTCGGAGGGGGGGGCTCAGACAGCCTCGCAGGAGGCCTCTGGTTGTGTGAGCCTTGCAAGAGGACAGCCATCTGGCTGTCTTCGGGTCATACCTCGCGCCTATGGCCGCCGTTCGGAACGATCCAGGTACCCTTGCGAGGCCCCCGGCGAGGCGCAGCTGCTGGGCAGGATCCCGAGGCTGGAAAACCACCGAGAAACAACGAACATCTCCGAACACCTCCCGAGAGCCCCTGACCAGCAGGCCCACCGAGAGGGCGAGAGACGGCGCGACACCCTCCCCCGCCCAAAAAAGGTAAGCAAATTCTGCTTCGGCGTTTCGACATTGGGCAGAAAGGGGGGGGGGAGGAGGGGGTCTGGTTCCGGACCTCTACCAAATACGATTGTTTGCAACCGTGTGTCCTATGGGGGAGACCCCACCTGCTCGAAACAGGCGCCCCAAACAACAAAGATCTACTCAGTGGGGGGGGATACGAGGGCCCGCGCCGAGCGGCAAGATAAAGAATTAGCCTGCGTGGCGAAGGACCCAACCATAATATGCATTTACAGTTTTACCATCTACTCAGAGCCAGTCTGGGGAGGGGCTGAAAACCCTTGTGAGGGGGGGCGGCGCAACAGAGCCGGAGAGAGCTATTCGAAGTCCGACTGTAACAAGACACGGATGCGATAAGGATTTCACCACTGCACATGCGATGGGGCCCTCAGCCCCCAGATCTACTTCAGTCGAAAAAACACGGCACGCTGGGTGCCAGCTTCCTGAGCGTGGCATCCCGCCGTAGCTTCCTGAGCTTACTATCAGGACGTCCTAGCATTATGTATTGTTCGGCCCCTCCCCTAAGGGAGGGTGCGGCGGGGCCGACTTTGAGCCCGAAAAAAACGGGGGGGGGAAGGAGGGAATATAGGCGGCAAACCGACTACGATGAGGAGGCACAATTAAGTTCAAGAGCCACTATGTACAGTTCTACCATCTACTCAGAGCCAGTCTGGGGAGGGGCTGAAAACCCTTGTGAGAGGGGGGGGGGGGGGGGGGGCGAAACAGAGCCCGAGAGGGCTATTCGAAGTCCGACTGTAACAAGACACGGATGCGATAAGGATTCCACCACTGCACATGCGATGGGGCTCTCAGCCCTCCATATCTACTTCAACCGAACAAAAAAAACACGGCACGCTGGGTGCCAGCTTCCTGAGCGTGGCATCCTGCCGTAGCTTCCTGACCTTACTAACGGGACGTCCTACCATTATGTATTTTCGGCCCCTCCCAACCGACCCCACAGGGCCACTGGCCAAAGGCCTGAACATCAAAAACAGCCGAGCACGGGCAGAACACGGGAGGGAAGGAAAGCGAGGCTGAACCACCTTTGTCAACTTGAAAACCACGCCCCCCCCCCAAAAAAAAAAAAAGAGGACCCACTCTTCCCAGACGAGGCTCTCTTATGAAAAACAAGTGAGAGGAGCAGGGGCAGGGTCTAGCTTGACCCGCACTTGCGCACAGGCACCTCGCGCTCACTGGCGCTCGCGAGCGCCTGGGCCAAGCGCTTGCCGAGCGGCGCCCCTGACCCAGGGCCTCGCGCGACGGCGTCGTGCACGGCCTGCCGCGGGCGCCGCCAGAACGCACAGCCCTGCTTGATCTGCGCGCCCTCCAGCTCGCTGAGCTTCCCCACCAGGGCGCGGCACTTGGTGTACCTCTGGTGCCCGGCAGTGGAGGCCCAGCGCCCGCGGCGGCGTGCTGCTTCGAGGTCGGCCCCGAGCGCCACGAACCTCGCTGCCGCCGCGTGCCTCATCCCACGCGGTGGCCCCATCTTCTCGAGACCCACGCCCTTCAGCGTCTTCAGCCAAACCTTGCGGAAGCTCGGCAAGGTGAACGCGAAGACCCGATCGTCGGGCTCGCGATCCTGCACCAGGACCGCCAGCAACATCTTCGATATCGGCCACTCCAGGGCTGGCCCCCGTCTTGGTCTTCTGGCCCAGCATGCGGTCGCCGAGCCTGAGCCCCACGACGCCGTCAGGGGTGAAGCTCACGTGCTTGGCCCGCATCATCTCCCAGTCCTGCTCCCGCAGCCATCCGCCCAGCTGGATGACGCACGCGCAGCCCTCCAGCAGGTGGCCCGTCTCGAGCATCCTCGTGATGATCACCGCCATCGCTTGGAAAAGTATCGGGTGTCCCTCTCCCCCAAACTGCGCCCGCTCCCACGACTTCAAAGCTCTATGCGCCGTGGGGGGCCTCCCTCGATGATCCTTGAAAATGTGCACGAACCGGTTGGACGTGAGGGGGGCCTTCATGTAGTTGTCGCCGCGCAGATAGCAGAGGTCGCTGATGTAGTTGCCGAGGGCGCGGTCCCTCTGTTCCAGCGTCGCGAAGGGCACCTCCCCGCGCTCGCAGTCCACCAAGAAGGCCCTGACCTCCCGCTCGTAGACGACGTCGGTCGAGTCGTCCACCGCGTGGACCACCAGGCGGTTGTTCCAGCGCGGGCGGTCGAGCTTGGCCTGCTGCCATGCTCGCGCCCCTCGCTTCTGCAGCGGGGGGGGCGGCCTCTCCACGCTGCACTCCACGCAACGCATGCAGCGCCGTCACCAGCGCGATCCAGAAGGACAGCCGCCCGCTGCCCCTCGTGCTCGACGCAGTCCCCGATGGGGCGGCAGCGGCTTTCCACGTCGCCGAGGTGGGCGCCCGCAGCCGCCACGTTCTCGCTTGGGGGGCGCGAGCCTCCCTGCTGAGAAGGTAGCCGAGCTGCGAGCGAGCCTCCAGGGTCCTGTAGATCACCACCGCCGTTCCTGCACAGCCGCTGCTTCTCGTGTTCGACGTAGCCCCCGATGCAGCAGCAGCCTGCGTCGCCGAGGTAGGTCGCCCGCCGCCGCCACGATCTCGCCCGGAGGGCGTGACCCCCCCCCGCTGAGAAAGTAGTCGAGCTGCAGGTGCACCACCAAAGTCCCGCAGATCACCGCCGCCGCTCCAGCACCTTCAGCAGCGGCCGCACCGACTTCGGCGTCGTCCTCATATTGTGCAGCCTTGGTCTCGTCCGCGGCCCCGACGTCGACCCCCCTGCTCGGTCCGTCCGCCATGTTCCACTGACTGGGGACCCATCGGCAGTAGCCCCTGATGCCCAAGGCCAGCGCGATGCCGCAGGCCACCCGCGCCAGCCGCAGCAGGGGCGTCGCAGACGAGCGGCCCTTCTGCTACGCACCCATGGAGACCACCGAGTCCGCCATTATCGCAA